TATATATATATATATATATATATATATATATATATATATATATATATATTAATATTAAATCGAAGTGATGATGCATTTTTTAATATTTTTAGTGCTTCATTTGAATTAATGTCTGTTAAACCGTAATAAAACTATGTTGAATTCCGTGTAGTAATGATAAGTTGTATATAATTGTATATAATGTCTTATTGTATATACGTCTTTCTATTGTATTTATATATAGTACATAAATTGTTTTATTGTCACACAGGACAGTCCTGCATATGAGATTGTATATTGCATACAATGTTTGGCTGGGTTCACTTTCTACAGTGCGTTCTGTGGTATCTGCAGTTTAATGGCACATTTCGTTACGCACATATGTGGTCAATGTGACGTGCTGGACTCTTTTCTTGAGGAAATTGTCATTGGTGGTGAGCATAACGACGGCTCCATTGACGATCGAATCGCTAACGCAATTAGCCGACATCTGCGTTTGTTGAAGTAAGTAGAACATCGAAGAAATTTATTGCAATCGTTACACTTAACTGTAATAGTTTGTTGTCGCAAGTTTACCACAATTACAGTTACTAATAACATCTTGAATTTCATGGATGGTTCCACAATTTTCTAGATTAGTTTCTAAAGTAAGTGGTTTATTTACTGAGATATGTCTTATGGAATTCATAAACGCTTCGTGTAACATATGTCTTCTTGGCTACTACATCATAACTGTACGTTATATGATACTTGTAAACAAGTTGAAACAGCTTCGAATGGTGTTTAACGAGATTGTTTAAGTTCTTTAGAAGAATACCTGTATTGCGATTATAAAATTTTTTTAAATTTCAGGATTTAAATAACAATGAATCGTTCGTACAAATTTCCATGTACTTCTTCGCACTTACATCGATCATTTTTAACGTGTTTATATTCTGTTATATCGGTGATCTGCTCACAGAACGTTGTCAGATGGTGGGTACTACTTGCTACGCGACTGAATGGTACCGAATGCCTCCCAAGAAAGCGATTGAACTGATTATGCCGATCACGATGTCCCGATATCCAGCCTCGATCACTGCTGGGAAAATGATGACGATGACTTTGAGCACATTCTCTGATGTGAGTAATATCGATTTGCGTTTTGTGTAATATAATTGACATATCAAAGTATGACTGTTCCGAGTTTCATAGTGGCTACTTTAATGTACTAGCGATTGACATTACGATCACTCAATGTTATGTGTTATGTATTGATGTATCGATTGCAATATTATCGAATCAAATATTATCCTCGTAAAGTTTTCAAAGAAGATTTATACATCTAGAAAAAGTTCGATTCTAATCTTTGTACTGAAAATGGGATATTGTATCGCAGATCTTGAAGACATCAATGGCATATTTTAATTTGCTCCGTGAATTTTCTTTGCGAGACGAAATTGCGTGAACGTAATTGTGATGAGACGACATTTTGAACATTACTACTGCGTTATCTTTCTACTACTGAGCTACTACTGTATGCATCAAAATTATGTTAATTATTAATTAGCTCTGCAAACAACGCACGTGTTAGTATAGCACTTGGTGAATTAAATCATTTCTTTATTCTAAATTGCGAAGATAAAATTTATGAGATGTAAATTAAAAATTTGTAGCCGTGGATTAAATCGAAATGTCAAACATTATTCTTATATAATGGAAATAATAATTCTTAAAAGTGAGTTCTTAATTGTTAAGAGTGAGTACAAATTTTATTTACTAATAAATCCCAATATGATGTTGCTTGAGATAGTATCATCGAAATATTCTTTTTTTCTTAAAAGTAATTCACTTTAAAAGCGTAATATTTCGAGTTACAAAGTCAAAGTTTTCATGCAATTCACGTATATTGCTGCACGTATACCTAGCGAAGTCACGTTGCGTGCGGCATCACTCGCAAAACTTTCTTCAATGGTTTAATCTTGAATGTATTCTGCGAAGTTGTTTAATTTTTAATATGCGCAAGCGCATGTCGCGGCTGAGACATGAGACCCATGTCTGGTATGAGCTCTCGATCAACAACCAGGACTTAACTTGCAAGTAGCAAACGCGAGCTATGCGCGAACCTAACAAATCCGAATGTGCTTCGTTTTGACTCGAGCGAACAGCTGAGTATTTCGGTCTGGTAATTTTGCAAGAACTTTTCGAACTTGTTCCGAATTTTCTGTCGCTATTGATGAACAACCCTATAGTGTCTTAACGTTATTAAAATTCCGAAGACATATCGTTCTGGCTTTCAATCAAGGAAAAATCGCACAATCGTATAATTGTCAGGATGATGGTCCGCAATGTACATTATCAGGAGGATGTAAAATACGTCCTCCAACAGAGTCATGTTGTACTTCGCACGCTTGGTATTTGGCCGTTGACTGATAGACGGCCAACCACGATTGACAAAATAATAAGTATTTTTGTCGTAGTTATCTGTTACTTTTTTCTCCATTGCGACTTGGTACCGGGTATTCTTTATTACGTATTCTCCAACGACGACCTGATCATGAAGGTGAAGATGATACCACCTATCCTATATTCGGTTATGGCAATTGCCAAGTATAGTAATTTATTAATTTACGGGAACGAGATCAGAAGTTGTTTGCAATACATCAAGGAGGATTGGGAAACGATGCTCATTGGCGGTGCGCGAGATATGATGATAACCAAAGCGACTACTAGCAGACGAATATTTACCATATGTTGCACGTTCATGTATTGTGGTGGGGTCTCCTACAATACGATAGTGCCATTGTCGAAGGGGAAGATCATTACCGATCAGAATGTTACGATTAGAGCTTTATCCTGTCCCGGTTATTATGTTTTCTTCGATCCGCAGGACAGTCCGGGCTACGAGATCGTGTTTCTTCTACAGTGCCTTTGCGGTGTCGTTATGTATACGATTACGGTAACGATTTGCGGCCTAGCCGCGCTCTTCGTGTTGCACGCATGTGCTCAGATGGAGATTTTGATGTGTTTGATGGAAGATCTTGTCGACAAGAGCAACTCTGGGCAAAGAGACGTCGCTGCAAAACTGATAACTATAATCGAACACCAGATAAGGATACGAAAGTAAGTTTTCCATTTTATCATATGTTATCTTAGTTATATATAAGCGATAATAAGTAAGTGTGAAGGTACAAGGGCATTTTAGAGATATTTATAATTTACGAATATTGTATGCATTATTCACATCTTCTTCCTTCCATCACCTGTATTTCACGATTAAATCGGGGACTTGTCTGATAATTACATTTTAGTTTCTTGCATCTGGTGGAAACTTCGTTACGCTATAGTAGCTTAGTCGAAATAGTGGGGTGTACCACAATTATATGTCTTGTGGGATATTGTATAATAGGGGTACGAAAAATTAATTAGTGCTTCTTGTTTGGGTGCATTGTCAGCAAATGTATTACTAGTAGATTACAAATCAGTTTCATTCTCAGGAGTGGGAAGATAGAAATGTGACGGCCCTATGTTCGTACGTAACTGCTCTCACGTCCGTTATTATTAACATTTTTATTTTATGTTATATCGGGGAATATGTGACGATGCAGGTAATCTTGACAAATTATTGCCTTCCTATGATATATTCATTTCATAAGATAAGTGATCCCTCGGACACAATGACGAACTCATTGTGATAAATTGTTAATTATCAATTGTTAATCAGTTTCACTTTTATATCAGTATGCACTTCTATGCAATTATGCAGTATGCACAGTATGCAATTTTCATTACGTTAACTATATGTATTTTCTTTTAATATTCACTCACATTTCTCTTAAGCGGAGATGAGAGGGTTGCTTCATGATAAACTTCCGATTACTTATGATAGGCGGAAGAGGTGAATTTGACATTTTGTACACTCGAGTGGTATCGTCTTCCGACGAATATAGTAAAAGATATGATATTAGTAACACTTGCGTCAAACATCCAGCTAAAAGTTACCGCCGGTAATATCATCGATCTATCTTTCAAAACATTCGGTGACGTAAGCAATGATATTATCTTTATATAACAAGACTTTCAGAAGTGATGCAATAATTAACTAGATTTGGAAATTTTCTAAATAATATAATAAATAATTGCTTCAAGACCCCACAAATCATTTTAGGTAATGAAATCTGCTTTAGTCTATTTAAACATGCTTCGAAAACTTGCCGGGAATAAATAACGAAATAAAAAAGTGAGGATGGATATGCTGAATTCTACATAACGAGGCAATATATATTTTTTAGTATGTTGGCAGATTTATTATCATTATTGTGCGATAGCAATAAGTGCAATAGCAATTAAAGAGGAACTAAGGTATTTGTAAATATCTAAAAAGTTAATATAATTTATTGTAACTATGCAACAAATACTAATTCAAATTTGCCACAGATTATTATCCAATATACAAGATATTAAAAAATATTAACATGTTACAAAATATCTTATTAAATAAACAAACGTACCGATTTTATGTGTTATATCACAACTTAACTTCTTCACTCATAATTGTCAAGATCACTAGCGCACATTGCTTTTACGATGTGAATTTCTTTCTGAGAACGTTTATCCTTTTGTATCTTTTACTCAAGAAACCTCTTTCTCTTCTATGTGATGCAACGAAATAAAAATAGACCTGCGCGCAATGTGTGTTCCTCTGAACGTTTCCGCGCATATGATGTTCTTCGATATGCCTTTAAAATTGTTTCTTTCTGTGCGCAAGCATGAGTATGAAGTACGTTTTCTTCAGTCGAACAACGATCCAACTGCAGTAGACAACAATCACCCGTGCAATTGACTCATCTTCAGCTACTGCAAATATGCATTAAGCATTACATTATTCGGTTATACAATTCCATAAGATAAAATCGAAATATGCGACAGCTATATTGACGATATATATCAACCCTCCATATAATAAGATGTTTGCTAATGAGAATTATGAACACGATATAAACTACAGTTTCGAGCTGAGTCGCATAGTTTTTCGTTTGCTAGGCGCCTGGCCGTTCGGGCGCGAGAAGTTCTAGTTATTAGAAATGTTCGAAAAAGTCTTCGTGGTTCTCGTTTCCTACGTCCTCCTCATTTGCGAATTAGTTCCGGCAATTCTCTATATGGCCATGGTGCAAAAAGAAACACGTGCGAGGCTCAAAGTCATGGGTACAGTGATATTTACGGCTTTAGCGATGGCAAAATACGGTCAGCTGTTGTTCCGCAAGAGCCAAGTGAAGGACTGCTTGTCGCGCGTAGAGGAAGATTGGCGAAATGTCGCCAACACTGAGAAACGCAGCACGATGATCGAGAAGGCCAGAACCGGCAGGCGTTTGCTCTTAGTATGCGGTATATTCATGTACGTGACCGGAGTGTCCTTTCGCACGATCTTACCGTTGTCCAAAGGGAAGATAGTTACCGCTGAAAACATTACGATCAGGCACTTGCCGTGCCCGACTCACTTCATTTTGTTCGACGTGTAACTCAGCCCAGCTTATGAAATTGTATTCCTCATGCAATTTTTTTCGGGATTCGTTAAATGCACGATCACGACAGCAGTGTGCGGTCTCGTGGGCCTCTGCGTGATGCATACTTGCGCTCAGCTGGACATACTGATGATGATGAATGAAATGGTAAATGAACGTGAAATTATGAACGTGAACGAGAGATTGGCCGTTATCGTAAAGCATCAGATTAAAACGCGAAAGTAAGTCGATTTGTTATTGGTGGATTTTTATTCTATTTTAAGGAAGTAATATGATTATAAAGGCAGAGATATTGCATATAATAATCATTAATATTCAATAATACGTCAATAAAATTCTTTTTAATTTTTGCAACTGATAACTGTTAAAAATTGAAACGTATTCTACGTTATATTTTAGTTTCTTACAATTGATACAGAACACGCTACAATATACAAGTCTGATGGAAATTACGGGATGCATTACAATCGTGTGCCTCATAGGATATTATGTTATCATGGTGCGCAAAAATGTTTATGTAGTGACATTATTTTCAGTGAAAGACCGAAACATAAGATAAGAGCAAGATACATAAGATAAGAACAATAAGACACATAAGATAAGAATAAGATACACAAGTGTTATCAAATATTCCTTGAGAATAAATATAATTGCCAAATTTATTTATTTTTTAGGAATGGGAAGACAACAACGCCGCAGCTCTGTGCTCGTATCTCATTGGACTCACGTCTATTGGTTTCAACATATTCATCTTTTGCTTTATTGGCAAGCAACTTTCAACAAAGGTGCATATATCAGGTTTTTATCAATACAATAATTAATTTTTATCAATAAAATAATTAATAATTAATTTTATCAAATAACAAAGAGTGACAGGCAAGTAATATTTTCAAATTGGCAATTTCATGTTCATTCAATTGGTAAAATTATTTGTTTGTAACTTATACTAATTAAACTAGGGAGAACAAGTAGCATTAACAGCATGTACATTGGAATGGTATCGTCTTCCGGATGCACAAGCGCGATCACTAATTTTGGTCATTGCCATGTCCAATTCTCCAATGAAGTTCAGAGATGGAAAGTTCATCGACTTATCGTTTAGAACATTTGGCAACGTAAGAAACTGAACAATTAACGTATCAGAAAAAATAAGAAACATTTACGAAGATTTATTGTACTTTAGGTCATTAAGACAGCCGTGACATATTTAAATCTGCTTCGGTCCGTTGTTGGCTGAACTCAAATACTCACCCGCAAATGTGTATAGTTTTTGTAAAAATATCCAACATTGGAATAAAAGTAGAGAGTTCTCGAGGCAATGTAATCCGTAAAGCATTTTCTTCTAGCATTTATGATGATGATAGAAAAGATGATGAGATTCTCTATGAAAATAAATAAAATCTCACTTTTTATTTAATTTATACATTTTATTCAATTTAGTTGAGCGAAGGCAAAATCGTTCCGTTCATCAACTTCTATATACATGCAAACGAAATATTCTATACTATATAATCAAAATTATTACTTGCTGTCGACGTCTGCCGGGTACATTTGTAAGTTTCGATACAGGAAGGAACAAAGTTAAAGCCATTTGTATTTCTAGTTCTTTGAAGAAGGGGTGCATGGGCAAATAGAAATATGTTCCCTGAAAAGCAATCTCAATCCTCGGAGGGATTAAATAAGTTAGCTTGCGAACTTAGTTCGCAACTCTCGAACCCTCTCCCTTTCACGTAACATTTGAATTTTTAAGGCGCGCAAGCGCAGTCGGATGGAAAATTTACTTTATTGATAACTTTTTCTCGCAACGGTCAGTCGTAACGCAGTACGCGTCAAGATTTAATGTTATTCACGACGGTTCGTGTTAGTAAGTGACCTTCCGGTGCGTGAAAGTACAAGACAATCTGCGACACAAAGAAACATGCAATTCAACGAACATTATCAGGATGATATAATGTACATCACGCAGTTGACGCGTAACGTTCTAGGTTTACTCGGAATATGGCCGTCCCTCAACAGAGAAAGATCCATCGGCGAGAAGATTCGCAAGCTTCTACTGATCATGATCTCTTACGCTCTTCTTTATTGTGTCCTTATCCCTGGTGTCCTCTTCTGGTTAATCGAGAAGAGGACGCGCGTCAGAATTCAGACAATTCCTTTGATTTTCTACGGCTTCATGGCTACCAGTAAATATGGCAACTTAATATTCCGCGAAAACCAGATCAAGCGTTGTCTAAAACACATCGAGGAGGACTGGAAGAACGTAATGAGTGAGGACGCGCGAGACACGATGATCGAAACTGCGAAAACTGGAAGACGTCTAGTTGCACTTTGCGGGGCCTTCATGTACGGCAGCGGTCTCTCCTTCCGGTCGATCTTGCCGTTGTCCAAAGGGAAAATCGTCACCGCACAGAACATCACCATCAAGCCTTTGCCTTGTCCGGCTTATTTCGTTTTCTTTGATATACAAGTCAGTCCTGCGTATGAAATGATCTTTTTGATTCAGTTTCTCTCTGGGATAGTCACCTATTCGATAACGGTAGGTATGTGCGGTCTCGCGGCCGTTTTCGTGATGCATGCTTGCGGCCAGCTGAAGATTCTGGTGGAGCTAATGAGAAATCTCGTTGAGGAACGATGGAAAGGAAAAGATGACGTGGATAGAAGGCTGGCTGAAATGGTTGAGCATCAGATAAGAATACGAAAGTAAGTTAAAATTTATAAGTTGCGTAGAGATTGTATATGATTTATTAGCTAATTGTCTACATGGCTTAAAAGATAATATTATGTTAATATATTTATTAAATAACAATAATTACTTGCTTATGAAAAAGTCGTGTGATATTTCGCGTATGCATTGTATCTAATTTTATAATTTCGTTTCTGAAAAAGTGTTCATTTGATGCCATTGATAACTATATTTTAGTTTTTTGCAACTGGTAGAGCATACTCTACAACAAGCATGTTTAATCGAATTAATGGGGTGCACAATGATCGTTTGCCTTCTGGGATATTGTATAATAATGGTCTGTAATATTGCATATATTGTATTATTCCAGGAAAATAGTATTTAAATAAAAGTAATGCATAAAAAATAAACATGGTAGAAATCAGGAGTTAAAAGATATGATATTTTTTCTCTGGGTACGAGTAATCTTAACATAAATGTAACAATTTATAACTTGTCAACGAAAATCTATTAAAATTTTTCATTACTGAAACTAATTTGTTGCATAAAATATTGCATTTATAGGAATGGGAGAATAGTAATCCGATAGCGATGTGTTCCTACTTTATTACTATTACATCTCTAATGATAAACATGTTCTTGTTTTGTTACACCGGTGAACAGCTCACTGTACAAGTAGGTTTGAGCTAAGCAATTAACAAACAATATTATATAATAAATATTGGTTTATTTGTGTACGTGGTAAATTATATTTCGTTTGTGTAAAGAAATCGTTCAACACATTATTTTTTATATTATTGAAAGAAAATTGCCGTAAGTCTATAAAAGTTTCTCACGTGTATTTGATAACGTTAATGACAGGCGGAGAAAGTAGCTAGTACATCGTGTGAGCTTGAGTGGTATCGTCTTCCGGATAAAAAGGCGCGTGGGATAGTGCTAGTGATGATTATGTCCAACTCACCCACGAAGATCACTGCTGGAAAGATCATGGACCTGTCATTCAAAACATTTGGTGATGTAAGATATAATCGAAAAAACCCAATATGAACCCAACATATTCGGCCATAGATCTGCAACAAATTGTTATAGCACATTTTCTCTTAATTGCATATTATATAAATATTTTTTATGTTAAGTCTTTATGTGTTAAACAAGTCGAAACTTAACAAATCTATCATATCCTCTAAAATAACAAACTAATAAACAAACTAATAACTAATGACATTATGTTTCAGGTCGTTAAAGCATCTGTGACATATTTTAATATGCTACGAAATGTCACCGACTAAACGTTCCCATTCTGCTTGGCGAAACTACCCAATGATAAACATCGTATTTTGTGTATACGTAATATAGGTATGTTAAATGCAAAAGAATTGAGGATGACGTATATATATTATATATCCGATTTTTTTATTCGGATTTATAATATATTTTTATTATACAAATAAATATATTTCTATTATACAAGATAAATGATTTCTATTATATATTGAATCAATTTCTATTATACCAGATACTATTATAAAATATAAATGTATGAATATAATGTTCCATTTTGCTGTACTTTTACAATATACAATATCAAGGTATACTCAATTCTCATAAAAATTTTGATGTTATGGTAATGCTTAAATTTTGTTATTTTTTTCTTTGCATAAACCTCGCGCGTCAAATATATAACAAAAAAATACAACTTTATAATTTTTAAATATACTGCATGTACATCGATAAGACGCAGCGCACGATGATGTTACACCCGTTAACTTTCGCGATTACATGGTGCAGAATGTTTTGATATAACTTTCGATGGCTGCGATCATAACTTATAATACAGGGAGAAATAAAATTACAACTTACTTGTAGTTCGTCAAAAAGGGAATGTACGTTAGCGAACAGAAATACTTACCTGTGCAAATAGTCCCGATTCCCACTGAGCAAGTTTGGCCTGCCAACTTTGTCAACAGCTTTAAGCGCTCTCACATGTGGATCGACACGCCAGGCCGCCGCCGCGGTTACACGAACGGTATAACCGTGGCCCCACAAAATTACTTCAATGTTCTTCACTGGGTGTGCTCAGGGACAAAGGAAAGGATCGCCCTACAATGCTATCTCACGATTGCGAGCAACAATAACGACTTTATTTTAACAGCCTTACAGACTAACGAAGATCGCCGACAAAGAAAGGAAACAAACACGGAACTCGCGTGATACTAGCACGAACGCGATTGGCTGAGAGCCCGGCACGCAGCTGTGCACGCCGGCTTCTTCGTACAAGTCGACAAAGGACAAGAAGCACGCTTGCCTATCCTTTTTGTTCGCGGAACTAATTACTAATTACGCACGCTGAGGCCTCAGCTACTGTGAACGTCCACCTGAACGGTCGTCGCAAGGCGAAGTCCAGGGTGAGAGTCCGCTGGCCATAAGTGGCGATGGCCGAAGCGTTGGCCGCCTGGAGCGTCAGCTTTTGCTTCTGCAGTTTGTCCTTGACAGCTGACCTAGGCAGCAGCGAGAGAACCGAACCCTTGAGAGTTCGCAGCCCTGGGCACTGATTCCGGGCTGTCCAGTCTGGCAAGAATCTCTCGATTGAGACTTACTATCTGAGCCATTGAGACTCGCAAGGACGCGAGCTCAGATGTCAAGCGGTCGAGCTGGTGCGAGCTGCTCACCCTCATCGGAGCAGACGTTCCGACCGAAGCAATGGCGGCCTGTTGCACTAGGTCCACGGGAGCGGGAGAGAGTGAAACCACGCCAGGTGTAGCTTCCACGATCTCGTCGTGGCAGCGAGCTCTTCCAGACTCGGAGTCTTCAGGATACGGAGGGGGCGCTGGGCACTCACTGGCAGAAGGTCCAACCACTTAACTCGCAGCACTTCGTCGGGAACACGGTTGGCCGAGAGGTCACGCATGTGGCGCAAAAGCTGCGACAGGTGCCTGTCGCCCAGCTCTAGCTGAATGAACAGCTTCAACAGCTGACGATCCGCGGAGTCTGTAAGCCGAGCCAGGATGGCGTTCTTCGACGTGAGATATTTGTCAATGTCCGGCGAACGTACGATGTCCTCGATGTCATTCAGGGTGTCTGGGTCCAGCATACTTAGGATGAGGTTATAGCGCGTCTCATCGCTACGAACACGATCCAGCTGGAGCGCAGCCTCCGCCTGGACAAACCAGAGATCTGGCTTGGCTCGCCAAAAGGGTGGCAGACGGCACGAGCCAACCGCCTCGACCGCAGCGGCCTCCTGATCCGAACCGACGTCCTGACTGACGCTTCCCTGGCGAAGGGACAGGTCCGCGGCCGGCACACCGACACGGCACCGGGGTTTTCATCTGAGGCGCGCACTGGCGAATGCAGCATCGCATCTACCCGCACACTAACTCCCGCGGAAACTCGGGACGGATCGGCGGAATCACTTGCACCGCGAACACGCGCACTGACATTTGACCTCGTCACTGAAAGGCACCACGCAGGGTGCAGCGCAATATAACAAAAACAATCGGAATGAAGGGACGAAAAACGCCGGAACGATCGCTCGCCACGCAAGGCACACGCAAGGGCCTACGACGATCCCAAAGTCACATCACCCATATCACGTCGGGGTCACCACTTGTGGGTCGACACGCCAGGCCGCCGCCGCGGTTACACGAACGATATAACCGTGGCCCCACAAAATTACTTCAATGTTCTTCACTGGGTGTGCTCAGGGACAAAGGAAAGGATCGCCCTACGGTGCTATCTCACGATTGCGAGCAACAATAACGACTTTATTTTAACAGCCTTACAGACTAACGAAGGTCGTTGACAAAGAAAGGAAACAAACACGGAACTCGCGTGATACTAGCACGAACGCGATTGGCTGAGAGCCCGGCACGCAGCTGTGCACGTGCACAGCTCGCCGGTTTCTTCGTACAAGTCGACAAAGGACAAGAGGCACGCTTGCCTATCCTTTTTGTTCGTGGAACTAATTACTAATTACGCTGAGGCCTCTCAGGTCTCACACAACACGCGTGCGTACCCGCGGCCGCCCTCCGAGTCAAACGCGCGGCGTGCGCGGACAGAAACTGGCGCGCCGCGGACACGCACTGCGGCACGTGGCGATCACGTGCACGACTCACGAGAAAGAGAATCGCAAACATAGACTGCATCCGCGCATCGGGCGCTCGGAGATGCTGAGGAAGACGCTCGCTGCAATGCACGAAGCGAGCAGCACGCGCAGCACTAAGGGCTATCGCACACAAATTGACATAACTGCATATGCATAGCATAAAATCGTATGGACCAATGAGCATCGAATATTAAGCATCGAACACCAATATGGCGACTTAATACTCGATGCTCATTGGTACATAGGGTCTTATGCTATGCATATGCAGTTATGTCAATTTGTGTGCGATAGCCCTAACACTCGCGACAATACATGCCGGCGTAACGGCTCCACAGAACCAGAGAATGCGGAAGACGTGCGTTGCACACAAGGGCACGTCTCGCTAGCGATCGCGCGTACAGCACGGCAACACGGCAGACGAGCGTCGCGTACAGAAAACTCCGGGAAGAGAGCGGAAAGTCACCGACAATGTCTGAGGAGAGACGGCTTCTCTCTAACCACTCGGCTCTCTTACGACTCTTGGTTACGAACGGACAATCTCTCTCGAGAGAGAGCGCGGAGACACACACTTTATAGCGCGCACAACGGTGGCTCTCGCAGCGCCGCTGCAAAGAGCCGGCGTGGCTGCAGCACCTGTTTGCACCTTCCAGCGCGAAATGCCGGCTGCCGTACCGCACGCGCCGACGGACGCGCGGTCGGTAACTGCCGAACCGCCACACACATATAAAAGCTCACATCCGAATATAAAAGCGCGCAAGCGCAAGCTATCAGCAAATCATAGCTTTAATTCATAGCTGCCTTTGCAACAGTCAGTTATAATCGAGCTCGCATCTGAAATCCATCGTGCTCATAATAATATGGGTGTACATTCAAAGTAATTCTAAGTTTATATCCAAAAGTAATTCTCTAAAAGAAATTGAAAAACGACTTTTTTTAAAAAATATGCCGAATAACGTACGTTATCAAGATGATATTATGTATATTACTAAAGTAACGCGTAATGTTTTGAATGTACTTGGAGTTTGGCCGTCCTTAGACGAAAGAAAAACAGTCGGCAGCCGGATCTGTAGGTTTCTACTGATCACAATCTCTTGGTTACTACTTTACTGCGTCCTGATTCCCGGTTTCCTCTCCTGGTTGTTTGAAAAGAGAACGCGTATCAAGATACAAATGATACCTCTACTCCTTTTCGGTTTTATGGCCATCGGTAAATACGGCAATTTGATATTTCGCGAAGGACAGATCAAGCGCTGCCTACAACACATCGAGGAAGATTGGAAGAATGTGATAGATACGGACGCGCGAAGCATGATGATCGAATCCGCGAAAACTGGAAGACGCCTAGTCACAATTTGCGGGATATTTATGTACAGCACTGGAGTTTCTTTCCGGACGATCTTACCGTTGTCAAAAGGAAAGCTTGTTACCGCGCAGAATATCACAATCAAACCTTTACCTTGTCCGGGTTATTTTTTCTCTTTCAACACACAAGCCAGTCCTACTTATGAGACGATATTTGTGATGCAGTTTTTCTCCGGTTTAATTACATATTCGATTACGACAGGCGTGTGTGGTCTCACAGCTGTTTTCGTGATGCATGCTTGTGGTCAGCTGAAAATACTGATGAAACTAATGAGACATCTCTTCGAGGAACAGTGGATTGAGAAACATGATATGAATAGAAAGCTAGCCGAAATAGTCGAATATCAAATAAGAATACGAAGGTGAGTGTATGTAGTTCGTAACTTTTATTCAATCTATCTCGTTAACATAATGATAATTAATTGCATAATGGTAATTATTAACACTGTATACTGCACGTGGATTGCAATTTTTCAATCTGCTTTGTGGTTCCTCTGAAAAATGTCGATTTTATATTATCCATAACAACATTTCAGTTTTTTGCAATTAGTGGAGCGCACTATGCAACAAATATATCTCATAGAATTAATGGGGAATACGGTAATGCTCTGCATTCTAGGATATTGTATAATAATGGTTTGTTTTTATTCATCAAAACAATATAAGAAAGAGATCGTGTTTCGTATCCCCATATACAGGGTGTTCAAAAAGTCCCGGACCGGTGAAATATCTCGAAAACTAAGCATTTTAGAAAAAAATGTTTCAGATAAAAGTTGTGGCGTTTAAAAAGATGTATTTACTGATCACATCAGTTTGACCTTGG